CCCCCCCCCCCCCCCCCCTCCGCAATCCACATTTTTCATGATCTGCTTCTACCCCTCCGAAAAACCGGAGCACGAGAGAGGCAAAGAGGGGACAAGCTACTTTGCTTCAAACACCTGATACTCGCCGAATGAGTTCAGAGATGAAGGCATTTTCCTTCGGTGTAGGCCTTCGGTCGCCTGTGAAGGCCGAGCCGGTGGGAGAAGCGGAGGCATAGGATGGATTTTCATGATGTATTACCCGGGCGCATCATCAGCCACGGCACGAATGAAAACCTCACAGACGACAGAGGATCAATAGCTCACCTAGGGGTGGCGTCACCGACAGGAGCTTGTGGGTGGTTTGAGGGTGAAGGAGCGTCTTGTTGTGAGGCCGCTGTGCTCTGATACCTCGTGAGGCTTTCTTTGTCCGTCATTTGCCGGATGCTTGTTTTCACGGATCCTTCACCGCACCCGTTCACGAAAATGTTTGCATGGATGGAGCCATCTATGGGGGCCAATGATCATCCGCGTGCGAGCCTGCATGTGGAGTTATGTTCAGTGACGATCCTCGACAATCGATCCACGTTTAGGCCTATGCTGCAGGTTCAGAGAGTTCGAAGCTGCCCCGCATCGTGTCAAGACGGTTGATCTGTGTGTCGTTTTGCGTCTATAAGAAGATCAATGTTGCTCGAGAAATTGCCGCAGGCTAGCGATCAATAGCGTGTGCTGCTGGCCTCGGGCAGCACTGCGAGGCACCACCATCAAAACACGATATGGCTAATCGCGCGTGTAGCAGACGTCAACAAGAAATTGTTCCATAGCACCGGGCCACTGCACAGCGATTCCAGCCCCTCACTTCCTTTCGCTCTCAATTCCACCTTTCGCCCACTTTCTAGACTATGGGGAGAAAAACGGTCGTAGACAAAAAGTCGCATCTACGGTGCCGTCTACCGACCACCGGGAAGTTGCATGGCCGGGGTGGTTCACATTTTTATCCAACATGTTCAGAGGGATTGTGCGCAACGCCATAGCGCATCGAAAACAAACTCCTCCCTTCTAAGGGATGCCCTCGCGGTCCACCGTCGCCCCATTTATCTAGTGAGCATCATTTTATGGGAATAGTTCCTTGCCAGCGAGCCCTTTTGTATTTGTGAATCAAGTTCCAAACCTTTAGGGCTACATCAAAGTATCTGGTATCTTTATTAAGTGAAACAGCGGGGCCTGGCAGAGAGAGCTGATATTTCATACAACTGCCATCAGCAGTTGGGCATGCCTCAGGTCCTTCCAGATTTCTGCCAGCGGCGACCAATCTCGTTTTTTTCGCTCCGACCCCTCAATATACGCTTACAATTTGAATGAATTCGAGTGAATTCCAGGAGCGGAAGGGCAGCGGCAACCAGCCAATACAGCCCACTCGCACTATCTGTCTCTCGTCTCTGTGCATGGGTCTCTAAGCATGCTGCCGCGCTCCAGAAAGTTGCAATGGGACGAAGAAGCATCCCAACTCACGATCGGGCGTTCTGCGCGGCACTGCTGTTCACATACGAAGAACGGCATTGCCCATTCCATCATCTGTTGGATGGCATGACTGGTTGCTGCGATAAAGTAGGTCGCATGGCACCAATGGTAATCCTTACTTAAAACCACAATGCTAAGCCATGGCTTCGGCGCATCACGGAACGGACGACGCCAATTCTCGTCGAGAAAAAGAACCGTTTCGGCACAACAGCTGTATGCGTAGTCTATGTTGACGAAAAAACTCCCCCCTACGTGTTTCCCCCCCCCCCCCCCCCCCCCCCTGGGTCCTTCCTCAAACCCTCTGGTGCCACCTATACGGACAGCACCCCGTCTCCGGCGTTGAGCACCACCGAGTATGC